CCCAGCAGCACTCAAAGTCTATTTTTGGTGTAAATACTAACAAGAAAGAGAAAGAATATTGTATATAATTTTGAAAATACTTTTAGTTATCGCAAATACTGTAACCAAAGTATAACATATATTACTAGTTTATTTTTGTTACAGTTTGAAAGCGTTTAATTATCCTTTTCCCGCATTCTATGAAACACGGTTTTTGCTTATTTTCAAAACACAATAAATCATGCATTCAAAACTATTATTTAATGAGCTTTCTCCAGCTCTAGTTACTGGATGGAACTAAACTCAGCAAATACTCCTACTAATTGACTGCATCTGTACTGTTATTTTGCTTTCTGGAATAATCCGAACATAGTCAAGACGCAGCGGTTCTCAACCAGTGGGTCGCGACCCCTTTGGCGGTCGAACGACCCTGTCCCAGGGGTCGCCTAAGACCATCCTGCATATCAGATATTTACATGACGATTCATCACAGGAGCAACATGACAGTGATGAAGTAGCCACGAAAATAATTTTATGGTTGGGTCACAACATGAGGAACTGCATTTAAAGGGCCAGAAGGTTGAGAACCACTGGTCAAGAGGGTTAAAAGGAAATGACTTCTATTCTTGTAGACGTGGAGCGTGGGGAAACCATTTTTTTCAAAAGAAAAAAAAAATCTCTTTGAAGATGTTGTTCTCCTTCAGGAACGGCCAACTCACCTTGCTTTTGTACCTCTGATCCCCCAGTTTTAACAAGACGAACATCTCTGCCATGTTTCCCACCGGCACGTTCTTTCCTTCCAGCAACGCGATGCTGATGATCCCGTTCCAGAGCTGGTTCTTCCTCAAGGCCTCTGAGAGCCGGAGGTTGCGGATCAACGAGGACTAGAGCAGAAAGCAAAGAGGAGAGATGAGCTCGCTGGGAATTCCTGAGTGCGACGCTGGCGGTCACAGGCGCTCCCGCTGTCAATGTTCGATGACACACCTGCCTGGAGAAAGCGCTGTTACCCCTGACTGGTTGTGCAAACCTGCAGTCACAGTTACGGGATCTCGTTCTCCAGCCCTGGGCTCGTAGCGAGACAGGGAGAGATGAGTGCGAGCGACACTGGCCTTTGGCACTGGCCTGTCCTCCCACCCAGCTCTTGGGTAGGCATCCTTCACCTGGGCCTTTGGCTATTTTAATAATAGGAAGGGGAGAGAGGCATTCTGGCAAACAGAGGTGTAAGAACAAGGCATTGCTTTGCAGGGAAATGAAATATCTATAGGCATTCAGATATAGTGGTGTGTGTTTTTTTAAATATATATATTTCAGAGAACAAGAGAGAGGGAGAGAGAAAGAGAGAGAAAGATCAATGATGAGAATCATTGATCAGCTGCCTCCTGCACGCCCCCTAATGGGGATCGAGCCCACAACCCGAGCCTGTACCCTGACGGGGAACAGAACCATGACCTCCTGGTTCCTAGGTTGTTGCTCAACCACTGAGCCACACCAGCCTAGCAGAAATAGTGGTTTTTGAATTTATCCTTCGCACTTGAATCTGTCCCCAATCCCCTTTGTTCCTTGGGCGAATACTAAAAAGCTCATGCCCTTGCGAGATTCATAACTCCAGACAGAGCCTGGGATTGGCCAGCCAGATGAGCTTTGCAGATGGGGGGGTGAGGGGAGGGAGAGGAAATAATGTATAGAGGACTTAGCACAGGGCCTGGAACCCAGGACAGTTCAGTGACTATTAGCTTATTTTGTTTCTCTTCTAAATGATGTTACTCACGCCCACTCATACACGCCTTAAACCAAATATAGAAAAAGGGCAAACATCCCCTACTAGTAAATTACCAAGTGGACAATCACACTTTAATTTCCATTATGTGAGTTTCCAAACCTATACAAAGGTAGAACGGTATATGAAATCTCCACGGATCTATTCACCAGAGTCAATGATTTGCCAATTTTATTTCATCTATCCCTTCACTACTCACTTCTGGCTGAAAATACTGGAGAGCAAATTCCACATTTGTGTTTTTTGTTTGTTTTTTAAAAAAATAAATTTGTACTGATTTCAGAGAGGGTGAGGGAGAGAGACAGAAACATCAATGATGAGAGAGAATCATAGGTGGGCTGCCTCCTGCACACCCCCTAGTGGGGATCGAGCCTGCAACCCGGGCATGTGCCCTTGACCGGGCTCCATCCTGGGATCTTTCAGTCCGCAGGCTGATGCTCTATCCACTGAGCCACACCAGCTAGGGCCCACGTTTGCTTATCTATAAGCACGATGCTCACAAAAGCAGCCATAATTCCCTTCATATCCTTAAGTACCCAGAGCCTCTTTACATTCCCTGATGGTCTCAACCATGTCTTTTTTGCGGTTAGTTGGTTTGGGTGCGGATCCCAACGCGACCCACACGCCGCACTTAGTTGGTGGAGTTCATTTATGCTCTCCGTTCAATAAATGAAGTGGCGCAGGCACACACGGCTTTCTCTGAAGGAGAAATAAATGGACTGTAGAGGAATGTAGATGGCGCCGAGTATCATAGGAAAGCAATGAATTTCTAACGCTATAGATTCATCCTGTCACCGGCTCCATAGATCTTCCAGGTCGTTTAGGCACCGATTTGCTGGGACACCAGTTCGTCACAATTTATCACAACAAATGGTACGTCAGGGCCATATTAATTACAGACCAGCTTACCTCATCCGGCAACGAGGCCACACCAAGCATTCGGCTGATCATTTTATAACCACCTTAAGCACTGAGAGAATATTCTCCCAACTTCATATCTATATCGCTGTTCTCATAAAATGCACACACATGTGTACACACACACACATGCGCGTGCACAAACACATACACACACACACACACACACACACACACACATGGCTTTTGGAGATGCTGAGACAGAGAAGGGAGGGCAGACAAGAAAAGAATTAATTTTAAAGAGGAGATAAATCCCTCTCCGCTGAGAACATAAACCTTCTTTGGTAACTTCTATCTGCCCTTGGGTTGTGGATCGAATATACTCAGAATGAAAGTTGATAAAATAGTTAAAAGCTAAGTTGATAAAATAGTTAAAAGCTAAGCATATTTTTAAAAATATATATGTTTTTATTGATTTCAGAGAGGAATGGAGAGAGTGAGAGAGATAGAAATATCAACGATGAGAGAGAATCATTGATCGGCTGCCTCCTGCACGCCCCCTCCTGGAGATCGAGCCTGAAACCCGGGCATGTGCCCTTGACCGGAATCGAACCCAGGACCCTTCAGTCCACAGACCGATGCTCTACCCACTGAGCCAAACAGGCTAGGGCAGCAATTTTCTCCTTGTGAAGAACCACAGACACCATCACAATCTCTAGACAGACAGACACGTATATAAACATCTAAGTATATGTGTTTATAAGCCTATAGGTGTCCGTACAGATGTAGCGACACTGAATACATGTTAGAGCTTATTAAGCACGCGGGCCGCAGTCTTCTCCCTTTACAAAGGAAACGAGATTATGATTCATCCATCCTGCTGCCATTTCCTGTTTTGCGTGTGTTTTTCTTCTGCAACTTTGACTTGCCAACCAGCACGCTAATGCATGACCTGTCCCGTGGCCATGCTTCAAAGCCCCGACAGATATATTCCTCCCTAAACACTGAAGCTATTTCAAAATCCTTTTTATAAAGAAGGGAGGCATGTCCACCAGAGATCAAAGGGCATCCCTACAGTCTGGCAACCGCCGAAGAAAAATGGCCGCGCTCCCATGAAATATGCCCTTAAAATAATTCTGGGGCTTGGTATGTCCTAGTTTCAAATGGGTTGTTTATCTTGGAAGGGCTTCTATCTAACTTGTCCAGAAAGCAGCCCCACTTAGCTCGATGAGCTCTGTGAAAAGGGGATCCAAAGCCGGTCGTCAAGGGGGCC